GCTTTTAATTGAGTCGCGATCACGAATACTTATCGAATTAAGGATGTATAGGAAATACACTTAAACAATGCTAGCATGTTGAATTTATTATAGATTCCTATTACTATTAAAAAGCTACCTGCAAAATTTTAAATCAATTCACGGGTTCACTTATTCATTTCATTCACGGGTATTCTTATGGTAATCAGCAGAAACTTTTTGGTACTTGGTGTGCATGCATGAAGTTGGAAGAAACAACTGACTTGAGGAAATACAAGCCTAAAAAGTCTGGAATTTTTTACGCTATAAAAACTTTTCGCCAGCGTCAATAATTAATTGGGTATTTCCTTCCATACATTTTAGCACGTAGCTATTTATAATTAGTATTCTTCTTCCGACGTCTGATTTCTTTTTAATTATAGGAAATGTGTTTTTCTAAGATACATAATCTTTTGGGATTGACTGTATAGCCAATACATCCTTAAATAAAGGAGCGACCATCATTCGTGGACGAAGCTCGGGGAAACTTTTCACCGCGCTCCAACGTCTTCTCGTAGCAGGAAAATAAAGCAGCGAAGGCTCGATTACACGCATATGCGGAGAACAGCGGCGCCGGTTGTTTTGCGGGTTCACTCTTCGAGATGGGCCAGCAACTTTCCAGACTAAAGAACGAGTGTACTCGGAAGCCGTCTGACAGAGAACGGTAGACCAATGGCAAATGGCATAAGTTGGCCCGAGTAAACTCACCTGTTATTCTGCGGGGCTGGAAAATACGTGCGCGCAACGGGGGAGAAACTCAAAAAGAGCGAGGGATGTAGGGACGGAGGCGGGGCGGTCCGAACGTTGCTCGAAGAGGATCACGAGCACGGAAAATAGCCGTGTGTAAGAATACGTGTGCGCGCGTATACGTATGTATTCGAAAATGCAAATTTCAAGGAGCAAGCAGGAATCGAGCAGTGTCCACTCTGCATGTCGCACGGAAAACTTTTGTTGAGCGTACTACTATGTAATGTCGTTCGACTCTTCGAGCCACCGCCGCCGCCGCGCCGCGCCGCACCGCCGCACCGTTGCTTCGGCCGTCAGTGCCCACTTCTCCCCGGGGGTTCAACCACTTTTCAAGCGGTCCGGCCGGTGCAGGGTAACGCGCACGTCAGTGGAAATAGTTTTGGACGAGTTAACAAAACGGCGTCGAGAGTTTCGAGGGGTAGCGCCGATTTACTGCGAACAGACGTTCGCCCACTTTTCTCTTTGCATGTTTATTTTACGACTTTCGCCTAGCTTCGCGCAACTTGCGCCCGCGCTTTAACCGCCGAGATAAGAGTTCATGACTGAGATAGAGGGGCCAGGCAGACAGCTAGCGAGATTAAACCGAGCTGCGCCGAATATGGGACAATGCTGCTCAGAGGGACCTGCAATCAACGGATATCGCTTTAATTACGCTTACGTAAGATAATATCCTACTTTGGGATGTTTAAATCAACCTAGAAATTCCCTTGTTCAAATCGTTAAAAACGTATTGATTATTATAATTACAGATGCAATCGAACGTCCGGCATACGAGCACCTGAATTTTAATAATCCATTTTGTATTCAGACATAAAATTACTCGGGGACGGTTTAAACTGTATCTCGGTAATATGTATTGATTCCTGATAAATAATTCCATTAATGGATATGGAATATCTACACAACGATATAAAATTTGATGCAAACATTACGGGAATCGTTCGAACAAATCAAATCGTATTAAATTCATGGCGTACGTATTTTGATAGTGTTTGAACGCCGCGCGTACGTCGAATGCCAACATATTTGCCTACTGCGATTGCCGATGGAAAAAAACATTCGTTCAGCGAAAAGAGAGAAACGATTAGGGTCGTACATGATTTTACCTGTATCGCAGCATTGAAAGGTGAGCCGAGCGGCAATTTCGCGAATGAAATGACGCTTCGGGCGGCCAGTTGAACGTGATTCGTCGACGGGCTATTTATTTCGATCCCCGGCTCGGCATCGACGTCGGGTTAGTTACATCCCATGCATACATATATAAACCATCACGTGCAACGGTGAGGTTCATTCGACGCGAGTAATAAGAAGTGACGTGTAATTTCGTCCGACCTACATTTTACTAGCGATTCACTTGACGCACGACATTTTAAGAGCGCCTCGCCCCCTCGAATGTAACATTGATCGTCCCGCCCCATCGGAACCTTTTATTCGCGTCCGTCGCATCGCACTTTTACTCTCCTTTTTTCATCGTCAGGTTCCACTCTCTTTTTGTACGAGGCGATGGCGGCGGGTGTCATCGAACCGCGTCACAAGGAAACGAACGAAATTAATAAATCCATCGCTCGACTTCGAGCTCCGTTGTTTGATGTCGCAATCAGAGAATTAATTAATCCGCCGTCCCCTGTAATTACGTTCCCGCGATTGTCTGTCGGTCAGTGCCCGCGAGAATATACGGAGGGAAAGAGAGATCGAGCGAGTTTTCAAACGACCACCGCGACCGATAAAAGTTACAGAAAGTAATCGATCACCGCCGATGGAAATCGATGAATATTAACGAACCGAGGTATGCCGTACACGAAAATGCTCGTAACGCTTTCATCGTCCGCAAATATTACACCGATTCCGGACGGAATGTCGGGGTCGTACACCGTCACATCGGCGATGACGAGGTGTCGATGACAATCAACCGGAATCACCCGGACGTTGCCAACGACAAGGGTATATCGTCCCCGCAACATGAAGCGGAAATAGTACTAATTAATAGAGAAGGAAAACAGTCTATCTGATCATTTAAAAGAGAATGTAAGAAGAAGGCAAAATCTTCTTAAAACTCGACGTTGGAGGCGCAGGTGGAAATTCTTTTTCTCGCGCGACTTACCCCGGCTCGTTTTCACCTCTTTCCTACCTTCGTTTAACTGCATTCGCCAATGGGAGAAAGAGCCGGTTCAGGACGCGGCGCGACGAGATTAAATGAAAATTGCCCACACTTGTCTACGAGAGGATCAGCCGGAATAGAATTAGATGTCCTCCGCGCCGTTTCAGGATTTACGCGTTTCCAATTAAGGACACTTAGCTGGACGACTGTCCGTGAAGCGCGACGCGGAATTACCTCGCGGAAAGAAAACGCTTGTCGAGGGGAAAGCCAATTTATGTAACCCCCGGTGAAAATTCTCTTTGCTCTCCATTATATCGAAATACACCGTAAATTCGCCTGGACTCGGTCAGCTTTCAGAAGTTACGAGTATATTGTTCTTAACACGGCGAGGCGCTACTTGGTATTAAAAACTTAAGACAAAACACGCGAACAACGTCTCGTGACACTTGTCCTTAATGGAATCATGAATTTCACTTACTGAACAATTATTATTCGTCTCGATTAATGCACGCAGATGTTCGTTTGCATAATTGCACGCTCGCAGGAGCAAACGATCGAAACGAATAATCGGAATCGCATTGAGGCGTACGCAAAATTATTTGAGCGTACTGACTGATAAGCGATGGGAATTCGAGATCACTCTTCCATGCGTTAAATACGCGGCGTAATCACATTCATGTAAACGAATGAAACGTTTTTCTATCTATTGTTCTCGACAATGGAATAATAATTGGCAAAGTCCACGATTTATCGGTTCGAAGTTTACCCCCCGTTAAAGCGATTGAAAGGAGAAAGTGGTTAGAACTCGATTTGCCAGAACTATGCCGCGGCGCGCGCTTTGATCTGCGCCGCCGAATTTCTTTTTGCGATCACGCGCTTCACCGTTTATTTCAACGCTCGTGCGCTTGTTATCTGTACATACAAACGCGCGCGGCAAAATTAAAATCTACCGAACGCGCCCGTTGCCGAGTCCTTCGACAGTACCGTGTGGCCTATGTCGTTTAGAATGTCGACAATCAGCGTACCTCGCGAACAAGTGCTTTTGCGCCAATAAACGAAAGAATGTGAAAAATGTGTGAGAAGAAGTGGAATATTTTCTTCTATAGGATGGAATGTTTGATAAAGCTTCGTAGCTAGTTTAAAACGAATTTAAAGTTAAATGGAGGAACGAACAGTCAGCTGTGGAAAAAAGCGACGACGGGAACCGATTTGACGGAAAGGACGAATGGTTAATTAAAATTGTTTGAAGAACTATATTCGTTGTTGGTTAGAAGAAAAAACAAGCTGCTCCAATGTGCTAGAGTACTGACACTGACGTTAATTAATCATTCAGGGACCGGCGAGTTACTCGACTCTGATGAATTATCGCCACCTGAGGAACTAGCTTTCACGATATACCTCACTGGTGTCTGCCTACTTTGCCAAGGATCCTTTCATGAAATTTGCCGAAAAATAAACGGAATGTGACAATGATGCATCGCCGATACGAAGACGTATGTGAACGGGAAACCGGCAATATTTCACATTTCAAATTTCTGGATGGTACCGATTGTATATAGAATGAAAATATAAGGCCGGATAGGGAGAGAGTGGGCGAGGAATGGTCGGTAAAATTAAACGATCGGTATCGCGAACGATCGATCACGACCGAACGGGCAATCTCGTGAAAATGCAGGAACTGCGTGCATCATCAAGAAATCACGCCGCAACGATTTCGTATAGTCGAACGCACCTGAACCGTGGCCAGCGCACGCTACGTTTACATATAGAATACATACTCGCACGCTGGGAGTCGGTTATCACTAACGTTTACGCGGGTTCGATAACGGCGCGCGGCCCGCGGTTCATGCACGAAACTCCACGAGGTGGAACCAAGATAAACGAGCGAAATTCCGACAGCCCGAATGCATTTTGTCTCGCGCGTCATTAGTCAACGGTTTAGATCGAAGCGGATCGATCCGACTTCCGGTGAAAAACCGACGATTTATGCATTTCTCGTCTTGCGTTAACGGGACGCGGACGTAAACTGATAAACGCGAGGGATCGAGAATTGGATAAAACGGAATGAAAGGAGGAAAGGAATCGAAAGCCAGGCGAGACGATCCGCGCGGTGGCAATAAAAACGTGTTTCACGTACATTGTTGCCTCTGGACATCCCGGCGAACATGATAATGCTGGTGCAGCGGGTCACGTGTCAGATGGACGGCTCAACTTCCGGTTCTTCCTTTCGAAAAAGAAAAGTCCACTCTCGGATGGCTCTTCTCTCTCTCTATTGTTCGGTGAACAACGACAAACGCAGAGCCGGAAAGTGACGAACTGACGCGCGCGAAAAAGAGAGAGATAAAAGGAAACGAAAGAAACGCGCGAGGACAAGCACGTCAGTTGCACGAGACTTTGGCAAACACCTTGGAGTAGGTCGCGGAGTAGGTTGACACCTTCAGGGGAGAGGTCGCGCGCAGAACTGACACCTCATGCGCGCGGTCCAGCTACTCTCAGCATCCAGCAGCAGCAGCAGCAGCAGCAGCAGCGGCGGCAACGGTGGCGGTAACCGAGGGGGATGAAGCGGAGCACGCGCGAAATTCCGCCCCTGTACTGCGCCCACCCTCTGTTCCTCCTCAACCTCCACCACTGGTTCCCAACTCCGTCCCTCTCGAACTCTTACTCTCGATCGCGCTCTATCCCCTTCCTTCCTCTCTCGCTCCTGACTACGTACAGACCTGTTTTGTCCTGACTCCGAGTCTCGCGCCATCGTTTCACCCAGAAAAGGATGTCAAGGGGTGAAACGAAAGGCGAACTGGCCGATAATTATCAGCCAGATAGCCGGTCTGCCCGTAGTTTTTTTTTCAAAAGAAAGAACTGACTCCTGGTCAGGAAGGATTATGTCGCGCCGGAAGTAAGAAAATTGTTTGTTACGTAGTTCCCGTAATTGTTTTACGTTCCGTTTGATCTGGTTACAGTTATAACGAGTTAAGTTCGTAGCGTACTCGAACAAGTGTACATCGTCGAGATAAATAAATCCATTTAAAAGTAATTGAAGTACTCGAAGTTCGGGGAAAGAAGAAAAAATATCTAGTTATTTCTACAGAGAACGCTTGGAACTTCTAGTCCTTCCCTAAGGTCGCGTCTCGTGTCCACTCTGGAAGAAATTACACAGTCCCATTATTCTATAAAATCGTTTCGCTACGAGTCACTTGAAAAAGTGTTTTGCGATGGAAAGAGGCGAAATCTAGAAATCTTGCGTGTGTATTCACGCGACAGAAGTTAATTCGTTCGACATTTGGCGAGCGTAGAGGTACAAGACGAGAGCAAGCACGCGCGAAATTTCACCCTCGTGCGCTCCTTGAACGCAGCAGCGACCCTCTTTCACAGCTCTGCATCTCGCAGACCCTCGCACCTCCGCATAGAAAGGGTGAAACTTTTCTTAATAACGACTGGCCAATGAAAGCTATATTGTTTGACCCGATGGTCTTGGCTCATTTAATATTCGAGTGTTCACGAGAACTTCCAAGTACACACGAGCGACCCACCGAAGCTGGTCGGTGTGTCGTTCTTAAATAAGGGTCGCCCGTGTTTAATGCACCACACGTTTGGCGCAATAAACGGTGCCTTTTGTCCCCCCTACTCATTGTCCCAAAGCTAGGGGGAATCTGTTTTAGAGCGGACGCAAAGCGATACGATTCAAATTTCGGGTAACGCATCGAACACGTCGACGTATCTGTTATCCGACGCTCGTAAGCTATACACCGAATACACGTTCATCGCGTATACAACGTGCGTACAGATGACGAAGGATGCCACGAAATTTCGCCGCTGTTTTAACACGCCTCGCACGAAAACGTAAAATGGTCGCGATTAATACAACTCGAAACATTAAAAGCGTTCTTAGCGGCGCAGCAGAGAGTACGGGGAATATAACAGCGGGAGGCAGACAGAGAGAACTTTTAATACTTGCCCGGTGTACAAAGCTTTATATGTATTACGGGCGGCGCACGTGAGAGACGCACACGTTGTTACATTAGTTTCGCAAATCCGAATAAAAGTTACAATGGTTCTCCATTTGCATTTTCGTGCATTATACGAGATAATACGGGAAGAAAGAATGAAATCCGAACGTCAATGCTACCTTCATGTTATACCCACGCAAATGACTCGTGTACGCGCAAGAACTCCGGTACACACACACACACACATATGTGCTCACCCGCGCGGCCACGTATACGAGCTGTTTGCGTTTTATCTAAATCGATCTTAACAGCTTGAAAATCCCGTGATAAATGCGCGCGCTAATACTTCGAATGTGTTCACTTCACTACGTATTCCCGTGCCATCGGGTTTCATTATCCCGGCCGATATTAATTGGCGGACGTAAAATCGAAATGAATTCGAGCACGAATTAATTTCGAACGCATGCTCACGCGCGTTCCATCGAAATATAACGATAATTAGAGCAGAACTATGTTACTTGCTTAGCGAGTGTAGGACCTCCTGGTATGTATTGCATTTACTTTTGAAACGTGATATTATTATATATACCACGTTCGTGCGACGCACGGATACAGAATAATTACATATTCGATCTTGCACAATTTCGATATTTTAATGAAATCTGCTTCTGATTCTAACGAGATAATTAATATTTTGAAAGCGAATCGGGCAGGACGAGATGATGAAGTTACCAGCACGTTCGATCGTGCGAACAATCAACTTTATTACAGCCGAGGATGAAAATTATAGGACGCGACGACGCGACGGTGCTGTGGGGGGCGATTCTTCCGACCGATCCGTGGAAAAAATTTGCTGGCAAAGAGGCTCGAGATTAAAATTCAACCGCGGCCAGATCTACTTCTGGCCGCGATAAAAGCGAAATCTCTAACAATTATCGTCGTCGAGTTCTCTATCGTTTCCCGTTTACCTCTGAGCGAGGGCTTTTCATTGTCTGAAGAAGAAGGCCGAATGGAAACGTAGAGGTAGGGTAGAAAAAACGAGACGGTGGAAGAATGACGAGAGGCAGAGGAGGAAAGGCGACGCGCCGCGACCGTACGGTTGAGACGGCAAAGCGTACAGAAGAAAATGCAAAAGGGTGGTACCGTTCGTCGCCCACGACCGAAGGAGACGATGAGAGGAATTCTTGTGAATGCGGAGCCTGCACGGACAAAGAGAGAAGGGGGTGGGCGGACAAAGATATCAAAAACAGGAACGGAACACAGGCGAAAACAACGCGAGTGATGGTAGAATGTCCTTTCACTGGTCGGTTAGGCCGCGAGTCCTCTACTTCGAGATAATAACGAAACGTTATACCGTGTGACACCGAAGTATCCGGTTGACAAACAGGAACTCTCAGACTGCCGGCAGGCACTAATGACGTTTTCAGGTAAGTAGCGGCGCAAATGCGATCGCTGGAGCGGCAATTAATTATCAGACTGGTGGTAGAACGGGTTCCAGCATCCGGGCGACGACGTTGTTTCACAAAATTATCGAAAGTCGATCAGTCGATTGGCACGCTGCGAAATACTCGTCGTTGATTGCGTTCCGAATGAAATCTGATAAATAATCGAGGATAACTCATGCGAATCCATCGTTAATACGATTCGTCCATGAGTCCCTGATTCAAATTCGATATTCCGTAGCGTTGTACGAGTTAAAGAATATGACACTACTTGTAGATAATAATTCGCATTAAAGTTGTCATCACATGTCTTATCAAAAAGTACGCGATACAGTGTAAAAAGAAAATAGTGGTCTCAATGTGGACAATGCACAGTCCCTATCAGAGCGACCATATTAGCGTGAATAGTTTTACGCACTCACCGCAGTACTTTTAAACGATTATTGCTTTAGCATAATCGCAAGTTGTTACTGTAGCTCGGAATAGCGTCTGGTAATTAGAAACTTGAGATCATGATAGCTTATGTACCGCGTGAGAGTTTCCGCTCGGCTACCCGAATACCGAAGTTGCAGGAATAAGGAAACAGACTGTTTACTTAGTTACTCTGGATCTGATTTAAATGGATAAATCCATAGCGCGGTCTTATTAAAATCGAATAACAATGCTACCGGTCTGCAGCAATGATTATTTTTCTCTTGCGGTCGACTCTTGAGAGGCAGTAACCCTGTTAAATATTCATAACAGGAGTTACACTTGTTCGACAAGGAGAACCGCCAAGATGGGACGGATCTCCTCCCTTAAAGACTCGCGATTATACGTTTACCACCACATTTCGACAACCCGTTCTCGACTGTTGGCTTCTTTCGCGGCTGTCAAAGGGAAGAAGGAAAAAGATCGGTAGGACTGTTGGTACGTAGAAAAGATTGCATCGATTATCGATTATGTTTGGCCCTCAGTAACATTGGGCCGCTTACCGTGGCCACGGCTACCGGGTTTACAAGACCTCAAGAGCACTTCCGGCTGCACAACGCGGGTTCCTTTGAGACCTGCATAGTCGAACCCTTGTCATATTCCAAAGACAACAATTCTCTGGTTAAATTTATGACGACCATAACAAATGTACGGGCCGCAATTATTTACATACCCGCGACGAGGGACGAATACGCGAGATACCATGAATTAGTGATGGGCACCATCGACTAAAAACTATCGATTTAGTCTATAGTAGCCAACGATACTTTTAGTCGGCTAAATCTCTGATATTATCGACTACATCGAACCAAATTCAGGCGGCTGCTTGAATGATCGATAAACTGCAATCTATAGCTCGACGGTCCAAGTTCAGAATATAAATACCATGATCGCTGCTTTGGATTATATTTATTCAAGGCTCGCGAAATAAAATTTTAAGATGCATATCTATTAATTAATTTATTAATCATAATTATGCATTTCTACAATAAATTAGACTCGAAAATGCATAATGCGTGATCGATGCTTTAGATCATGATTGGTCAAGGATAGTGAAATAAAAATGCAGAATTTTATTACCATTCATTTATTAATCAGAATTTAGGCGACATACATTAAATTACTGATAGATCGATATACAATTAGAGATACAGAAATTCTAATCTAGACTTTAGTATTTCGCTGAAGAATTGCATTTCGAAAATAGGGATTAGTCATTTGGTCAAGGAACATGAAATAAGAATGCCAATATTCATTTCCATTAATTTATTAATCAGAATTATTCATTTTTACAATAAATTAGAGACAGAGAATAAATTAGACACAGAGGAAATTGATTTCAATAGATGTTCATTTAGACAATGTTATGTTTTCGTTCGCTTCGGTAGTTTTACCGAGCAAAGTAATGCATGATCGCTGCTTTGGATTATATTTATTCAAGGATCGCGAAATAAAAATTTGAAGATGCATTTCTACAATAAATTAGACTCGAAAATGCGTAATGCGTGATCGATGCTTTAGATCATGTTTGGTCAAGTAAAAATGCTATTTAAATATGAACGCTATGATCATAACCACGAGAGCGATTTTTCATCCGACTAAAAACTATCGACTAATTAGTCGATAG